ACCTCTATCTCTATCGATGGGAGGTAGAAACTGTATACTACCTGTCGTCAAACGCTCCAAGCACATGCATACGAGAGGACCACAATCCCCTCTGGCTCCCTGCGTTTGTTGTAGCGCGGTCTCATCTCTGATAACTGTAACATTGAACTTCTTTAGCTTCTTGTTTCCAGAATAAGTCCAGTAATTAATCGCATCCAAGAATTTAGCCAAATGAGAGCTCCATCCCTTAATAATATCTCTCAAATCAGACAATGATATATAATGTATCATGTTGTCATATACTATTGTCTTCAAGGATGGGAGCTGAAGCTCGACGAGAAGCCAATGACGACGTTCCAAAACAGGGATAAACACCTGCAATCATAAGTAATAATTCAATTGCACACTTATTTATGAACACCTTTAAAATATTTAAAAAATAAATACTAACCTTATCGACCTCCCACCATGCAGGATAAAGTTTAGCTTGTCCATTACCCAACACATATGATTCATCTCGTTGATTCTTCAAGTGAACTACGTGAAAAGACGTCGGCATAATTGTATATCGCGTATTTTTTTTTCCTCATTTTCCTTATTATTAGAAGACGTGACACCCATGCATCAATATGTTGTTTTACAAAAAAAAGACATATATTAGTGAATTACATAAATTTAAAAAAAATATAATCAAAATGAAATATAAGAAAAATATAAGACTTACCCCCCCATCGAAATAGTCATTGTCTTCAACCCCTAATAACACACCCCACTAAGACCGATCAAGCAACAAATACATATCATCGTTGAGTTTATATATGTCAGCGTAACACCCATGGCTCCGCTCATGTAGATAAAAATCAACTGCGGTCTTAGCCCAAAGGGTATTATCCAGAATTATTTCCGGTAGTTTTCTCATCTCCACTTCAGATACCGGAATGGTACTGGCCGGTAACTCATACGAAAGCCAACACTCATCCATCATGTCTGGTACGTGAGAGGGTTTCTCAATAATTCGACAAATTACGCCATGTGAATCGGGCTCTTGAATGGTGGGAGGGACCTCTTCAACGATGACAGGGGCCTCTTGAACGGTGGGAGGGGACTCTTGAGGGATGATAGGGGCCTCTTGAATGATAGGAGAGGCCTCTTGAACGATGACAGGTGAGTCGGGCTTCTTCTTACGGAGTCTTCGTACTATTGGGGTGAACAGAGACGTAATGGCACGTGCACGCCGTCTGATGCGTAAACCCCGTCGTGCAAGAAAAACCCGACGTAAAGCATTCACCTTATCGAGCCGCTAAAAATAAATTAATAAATAAATCAGTAAATAAACAGACATGATATTAAACAGTGAAAACAAAGACAAATATGTTTCAAACTTGCACGGTATTCACCCAAGTCATTATTCTATCATAGTTCACAAAATGCATCAGATAACATTCCTGAAGTAAGCACTTATATAAACATTTAAAAGGACAACATATAGGTTTAGTGCATGTTCAAGGACAACATAAAGAGTAGTAGTTTATTCTTGAAACTTAAATTTGCAACACTGTGAAGTTAGTATTTGTCTTTGTCTTTTGGTTGAAGTAATGCAATCCATTCAAGTTTCAATTTGCAGAAGAATAATAGTTTTTGAAACTTAAAATCGCAACACGAAACTTAAAATCGCAATGCGAAAATGACTATCGCAACGCGGAAATGACTATCGCAACGTGAATTTGACTATCGCAACGGGAGAATCGCAATGTGAAATAAAAATCGCAACGTGAAAATCGCAACGCGAAACCAAAATCGCAACGCGAAACTAAATTCGCGTTGCGATTTTCATTTTCGCATTGCGATTTTCACGTTGCGATTTTTATTTCGCATTACGATTCTCCCGTTGCGATAGTCAAATTCGCGTTGCGATAGTCATTTTCGCGTTGTGATAGTCATTTTCGCGTTGGGATTTTAAGTTTCGTGTTGCGACTATTCTTCTTCTGTAAATTGAAACTTGAATGGATTGCATTACTTCAACCAAAAGACAAAACAAAGACAAATACTAACTTCACATGGTTATTTTAGAACTGTTTAGCAGTATTGGCAGCAACCGAATGAATTTACTAAGCAATCTAAGTGAAATGGTTAATCTAAGTGAAATTACGAGTAAATCATGTTAAATATGAAAAATATTAAACTTACCTCGTTGCGTAGAGTATGAACCTCATTCTGCAACGATGCTACCATCTCACGTAGAGCGGCTACCTCACCACGTAAAGTAGATACCTCATCACGCCATGCACCATTGTCATCGCGTAAAGTATCGACCTCCTCACGCAAGGCATTAACCTCATCACGTAACTCCCCTAACTCATCCCGTGGAGGTGGAGGTGGAGAACAGGGAGATAAATGTTGTAGCATCTTTATCGGTCGCCTATCATGAGGTGATGGTGGATAAGAGGCTCGATGATGTGACGGAATAGGTGATGGCTCTCGTTGTAGAGTTGTATAGTGTGGTCGATCAGGTGATGGCTCTGGGTGAGGTGATGGCTCTCGAAGTGGAGGTTGCTCATCATCCGTGGGTGTCAGCCTCTGTAATGGAGTGTTGGCCTCCTAACAATATAAAAGCTCAAACAAAGTTAAACGTGTACTAGTAATAACTTGTTTATATATGGTAGTATTTGTGTTAACTTACATCATTTATTGTCGTATACCGTAGTAACTCTTCCCAATCCAACAGCCGTCGTTTCCTCTTCCAGGAAATAGCCCTAGGAATATCATTTGAAGTTTTTAATGCATATGTCTGCATGCCGGGAAAAGCCTCAAATATCCAAATCTACAAACAATATAATACACAAACATTAGTAATTGTTAAATAATTAATTATAATTTTGTAAACATTATATATAAATTCTTACCTTAAAGGCCCAAATAAAGCCTGACAAAGTGTATTTGGAACCATCGCCACGCAAACTTTTTCGGTCATCAAAGGCAGACGACAACTTATTCCAGGTAGCTTTCCATAGATACGAACCCCACGGAAACAGGTTCCATGCATTTAAGTCATCTACCAATAATATTAGGTCCTTAGGAATAGGTTGTCTGGCCTCTCTGCCTAAAAAGCCGGCATGCAAAAGTACTAAAAGGCATACTCGGACAACATCGACGTCATCCATCCGAGTAAAACCATCTTTCTTATTAAATAATATCTTCAAGTCGTCGACGTGTAAATTCGGCTTCTCCATTGACAGCTCAGAAAAAACTCGGGATAACCATGATGGGCGGGTAATATGACTAGTGTATCGACCTACATCATCGTGTCCGAAGCGTAGACCAGTGATTAAGCAAAACTCCTCCCGCCCAAAACACGTATACGCCGGTGGAAAATGAAACCATATCTCTTCATTACCACGTTTTATACTCTCGGGTAGATCGCTAGTCATGGTCTGAAGCCACAAATGGGTCAACATAGCATCTCCACCCGGATGTTGTACTTTCAGCCATGTCCCGAAGCAAGTATCCTCAAACAATTTTCTTTGTACAGGTGAAAGCTTCGACGCAATTGTAGTGACTAGGCTTATTTTATTCCTTAAGGTCAATTGAGCCGGAAAAAAGTTCTACAAAAACAATAAACATACCAAGTTAGATATACCAAAAACTACACTGTGAATATATACCAAAAACAATAATAAACATAAAGAGTAGTAGTTTATTCTTCAAACTTAAATTTGCAACACTGTGAATTTCGTATTTGTCTTTGTTTTTTTGTTGAAGTAATGCAATTCATTCAAGTTTCAATTTGCAGAAGAATAATAGTTTCTGAAACTTAAAATCGCAACACGAAAATGAAAATCGCAACACGAAAATGACTATCGCAACGCGAATTTGACTATCGCAACGAGAGAATCGCAACGCGAAATGAAAATCGCAACGAGAAAATCGCAACGCGAAACTAAAATCGCGTTGCGATTTTCATTTCGCGTTGCGATTCTCGGTTTTAAATAGTCATTGTCTAAAATTGAAACTTGAATGAATTGCATTACTTCAACCAAAAGACAAAACAAAAACAAATACTAACTTCACAGGGTTAAAGACTAAACAGTTTAGCAGTATTGGCAGCAATCGAATGAATTTAATAAGTAATCTAAGTGAAATGGTTAATCTATTATTGAAATTACCAGTAAACTTATCATCAATTTCAATATGAAAAACCTAATAATAATGCAAAAATTTCAAAATAAAAATAATTAAAAAAACTAACCCTCGGTGGTTGATTTAGTTGATTTTCCATTTCTGACTGTGAATGAATGTGAGGGTGGCTCTGAGAGATGGAGATAGACGGATTTCGCCAGAGATGGGGACGGATTTCGTCGGAGATGAGGACGGATGTCGCCGTAGAGAGTGAGAGATGGAGATGGGACTGAGTTTTGATTTAGGGTTTTAGGTTATGAGTTGCGATTACGGGATATACTGTTTACATTTGTGTTGCGATATATTAATATTCGTGTTTGGAATTTGAAAATAAAATACGCGTTGCGATACTAATGACGCTTTGAAAATCGCATTGCGATTTTGTATTATCGCGTTGCGATAGTCAGAATCGTGTTGCGATTTACATATTCGCGTTGCGATTTACATATTCGTATTGCGATTTTGCAAAATCGCAATGCGATAGTCAAAATCGCGTTGCGAATCTGGAAATTGATTTGCGATACTGGAGATCACATTGCGATTTAGAGATCGTATTACGATTTTGTTGGTCATTTTGGCAAATCGAAAAAAAATTGGTCAAAATCGTATATTATAAGACATTTTCGATCACTGAGATTATTTTCTCAATAAAGAATAGCTCCTTTTAGCGCTTTAGGATCTATTGCCACGCCGCACCTTTCAATTTGTCAATTAATTTATAACAAAAAAAGTCAATGACTTAACCGCTAAGCTTAGCGCTTCACCCCTGCCCTGTTTTCCAATCTATATATATACACGCACAAACACATATTATCGCCATTAATTCACAAAAACCATTGTAATACTGAGTGGTTTCTGATATGAAAGGAGGAGAAGGAGAGGAAGAGGTTGGATGTTGCAGTTTCAATCTGAATGCTCTCCCGCAAGATTGTATCGCCGTCATAATTTCTTTTACCTCACCTCGAGATGCCTGTAGATTGTCGCTTGTTTCAACCACCTTTAAATCGGTCGCCGATTCCGATGCCGTTTGGGAATCCTTCTTGCCGTCCCGATACCAGGATTTGATCCCCTCGTCTGTCTCTTTCCCTTCCAAGAAACAGCTTTATCTCAGCCTCTGTGAAAACCCTGTCCTCATCGATGGTGGACGAATGGTAATTTCATTCTTTCACTGTCTACGGTTAATTCTTTTTTAATTTGTAATTAAGAATTCCGTTGCATTGCTATGTGATTTAGTTTCCTTTTGGGATGTACAAGTTGAAAATCATTGTGATTTTGATTTTTGCCTTTTAACTTTTGAAATCTGGAAGTGTATTGGGATAAAACAATAACAAATTTAAGTGATTGAATTAACAAGATATGAGATTTCAACCTGTATATAAACTTATGTCTCATGCTTGTTCATATTTCATCAAATCGGATTTAGTTTTTGATGAAGTAAAAAGAGGCTTAGAAGAAACTTTTGAGTGATTAATAATAAAATATGCCACGACTTTGGTGCTTGAATATTTTTCTCAACAATTTGTTTGGATGAAACAGAGTTTGTCGCTGGAAAGATTGAGCGGGAAGAAATGTTACATGGTGTCACCCAGGGAGCTCCACATCGTATGGAGCGACACCCCATCTTATTGGACATGGATTTCTATACCCGAGTCCAGGTATTACTCTTCTCCTTCCCATGGGATGTTAATTTGGATTCTTGGCAGATTCATGTATCTCAACAACTATGTTATGAAAATTGGATTAAGATATGCATAATAATATTTGGATTTAATGCAATAACTATATGAATTCGAATTCAAATATTATAGAAGTTACAAATATTTGATCCGCTGTCATTTCTAGTTAGGTCCATTTGGTTGTTTCCTAGGATTCAAAGTTTCTAACATGACTTTAGTTGGAGGTGGCAAACAAGTCTTTTGAATCAGGTTCGGGCTGAGTTTTTTCGGGTTGTATTATTGTTTTTGGTTCAGGTTGATTCAAACCAGATCGAATCTGGTTTGGATTTAATTTGAGTCTATGGTAAGTCGGCTCGGGTCAATTTTTGGTTCAAGTCAATATTGAATTCGGTTACTTTTGGTTTGTGTTATTTTCGGTTAGGATTGTTTTTGATTTGGATTATTTTCAGTTGTATCGGTCCAATTAAAATTCGGTTCGGATTACTTTCTGATCGAATTTCGAATCAAATTTGAGTCATCATTTTAGGCCTATATCAAGTGTCGGGTTAGGTAAATTGGTTCAAGTAACCAGATTCAGATCAAGTTTGTCAGATCTAACTTTAATGGATGAGAGTTGTGGTACTCTTTAACACTCTTTAGCAATGCCTTCTCTATTATTGTTGTTAACATGTAAAACATTTTGATCTTAAAATAGGTTCAAAGAGATACCGGAGCTTCTGAGTGTGTGTTGGTTTGAAATCCGTGGGAAGATCAGTATCTTCATGCTTTCACCATTGACGCTGTACAAGGCTTACCTTGTTTACAAAGTGCATGACGTTTACGGATTCGAATTCTACCCTGTACAGCTTAGTGTTGGATTTGCTGGCGGTGAAGTTAGAAAGAGAGCTGCTTATTTGGACCCTGAAAGAGGGCAGAGGCTACATGATTGGCAGATTGAAGAGTACCAACTGCCTACGCCCAGCTATGATGATCGGCTCCCAAAGGCTAGACCAGACGGGTGGTTGGAGGTGGAGTTGGGGGATTTCTTCACTGAGGGATGCATGGATGATGGGGATCTGGAAATGAGTGCTTTGGAGGTCGAGGGCGGTAACTGGAAGGGCGGTCTCATCATCCAAGGGATTGAAATCAGGGCCATCACCCCTAATCCATCACTATGAGCCCTCCCATTTGGACCACGGTTACGTTTTCGGTTGCAGATCAAGAATTTGGTTTCATTTGATTTTAATTATGAATACTTTTGGTTTATAGTAATCAATACACCAAATTGAATCATGTTTTAGTTTCAATTCTAATCATCTTACTGCTTAAAATGTTAGACAAAATTAATCAATATACCAGATTTAAACATGTATGCGTCTGAGTTTAGATTTATATCTTTATTCTCTTTTAATTATCTTCTACTAAAGTATTAATCAAATTATTTAAATAACAATGTGGACTTTAATATTTACATAATTAGTTCATTTAATCATATTTTTTTTAAAATTAACAGTTCACACATTGGCCAGTTTGGTGATTTTAAAATAGTACGATGAAAATGTGATTTCTAAAAGTGATTCTCCAAAGTACATTTGGATTACCGGACATGAGAATCTTGATTTTTAAAATAATACCTAACATTATATGATTTGGTATCTTTTTATATATGATTTAGTATTAACATTATTGATTAGTGGGTAAACTACACGTTTAATACCTAAACTATTATTTTTTTTCATTTTGGTACTCGAATTTTATTTTCTTCTCAAAATAACGTTTAGTTTGGATTTCATTTTGGTATTCCGCCGTAAAAACATCTATTATACAATTAACAATATCATCAGTTGAGCGAGTAACCCCTAAACTATCTGCAATTACGTTCCTCCCAAATGGTATATAGAAAATCAACCCAAACAAGTTTAAGGATACAAACAATGAGAGATTATTAAAATTACATACGAAAAATAAACTTTAATTTTGCATAGATGTATCAATGAAAATTTTGTTTTGATTTAATCTTTATAAACCATTAATGTCATTTTCTGCATGAAACAATTTTACATTTAATTATTACATATGCAACAATTATATTATTAAATTTTTTATTTTTAAATGTATTTAATTACGTCAAAATAGTTGGCCGTCGATGACATCAGTCTTGGTGCAAATTGTTGATAGTCAGTATTTTTTGTTTTCTCTTATTTTTCTAAATCGCTCCATTTCACTTGTTTTTTAATTTTTAACAACTCTGCCTCTATGACACATTTTTTCTCTTACATCTCCTTCATAAATATCGTTTTTTTCTGCTAAAAACAAAATGAACTAGCCCTCATTGGCCAAACAAAAAACTAGCCCTTTGTAATCCTTTTACTGTCTCTGATATACTGTCAGCTTTCTTATAAGTGAATACAGTAGCTGAAATAGTATCTGATTCGAATAACTAATTCTTTTCTGCATGTATTTATAAATGAAGCTTGTGTGCACAACCGAAACATGACAAGCCTCTCTGTTATTGAGCCATATAGTTGCTCCTTTGACAGAAACCTTTTGGCACTTGTAAATTTCCAGTCGACCAGAAATATACCACTAGAGGATTCATTTATCTGGAACTTTTGTATTTATATTTTATCACTGTACTTTCTGCAACATATTTTATCAATATAATTTGGAACTGAGAACATGTGAAAATCCGATGCCTTTAGTCTATGTTTTTACCCCCACCTTTTCCTCACTTATTCCTTCATACTTATAGATCTCTTAATTGCAGTATCAGCTCATCTTTTAAGACGTTGCTTTTCTCCTGATTTAATTGCATTGATGTTTACCCACTGGTATGGAGTGTGAGAAAATCTTCTCTCCTTTCAGGAGGAGCTAGAAGCAAAATTCTTCAAAGATAGAAAGCCTTTTGATTTGCAAGGTTGGTTTTGTGTTTGTTTTCTTTACTTTCAGTCCATTTTTATGCTGCTTTACATCTTCAATAGCGATATTCAAAATGTGCTTGATGATAGTATAAATTCTCTGAATTGATTGGGGAAGACGTGTTGCAACGTGTCGTTTTTCTTCTTTTTGTTTCAAATGACGTAGAGATTCCTTTTTCTGTTATCTTTAGTACCACAGTGCTAATTTTGATGGTACTGGTCAGGAAATCTAACTTGCTAATTATAGAAACTTTTATTGCTACTGTAAAGAAAAAGGTTTAAAAATTCACTCATATTAACAAGGAGGGCTTTGGAGATGAGACTGCTAACTAAGAAGTTTGTTCAACCGCTGTCTGGAATGCAGAAGAAACTGATTTGATGCTAGAGAAGCATGGGAGTTTTGATGCTAGAGAAGGTACAGAAGAAATGATTTGTGTTTTCTAAAAAGCAAGAGTGTCAAATATAGTTCTCGGGGCTATTTTAGGGATGTATATTATGACTGAAAAAAAGAGCTAAACCGTCATGGTTTGTGGTCCTGAGTCTGTTGTACTCTTCAAAGAGGATTTAGGCCATTAAATATGATTGTCTAAGTTGGTATAATGCATTGGATATCTAACTGGATGGATGAGTGGATTTGTGGTGTTTCCATAGATAAGCTGCATGTTGATGCTATTATGTGTTCTAGTGAATTTCTGGATCATGCCTCAATTGAGTGAGACAAAGAGTTAAAGAGAGTTTGCACTTATGTTTGTGTTTCATAGGCACGTGCATCCTGAAACTTACTTTGTCAAATCTTCCTCCAATGAAATTAGGATTTACATTTAATTAGCATGTACTTTTTAGCATTTTAGCTTTGTGAAAAAGGGGAAAAAATTCTTTGAAACAATATGGTTTAAGTTAACCGGTCACAAAGACATGTGGAAACCTATGGCATCATGTAGAAAGTGACCAAAATTAATTTATGCTATTTTCAGTTTTAGTTGGTTATGTTGGTATAATCATAATAGGATTGAACGAAAGAAGAGATTACATTCCTAAGTGATCTTGAGAGAGTGGGAAAGAATGTGAATTCATAAAGACAGAGCAAGAACTTGTACAAAATGTCAGACCTTCTAGTCTCCAATAATTTGAAAGATCAATGCTAATGTTGTCCTGATCCCAACGAATATAGTATTCACCAGTATTTGAAATAATGAAAGTATATCTAATAGATCTGTGGTTTGCGCTACACATTTACGAGTAATATTAAGAGAATATGGATTTGCAAATTGAATATGATGTTTTTAATTGTCAAGATGAATAATTGTTGTTGTAATTAGAAATTAATAAACTAATATATGTAAAACTCAGGATTGTGCTTGCATTTGTTTTACCCATGACACGGAAGGTGGAATCAGATATGCTGTTACAAGTTTATTTCCAGTCAGGCTTTGAGCAATATTTTGCATTTGTGGGATGCAAGAGGCAACTATGGTGGCATTCCGATAGATCTTCAAAAAATCTTTGTATTTCATTTGTAATATGCCTGCCTATGTTGGCCTTCCTACTTGTCTTTAGGTGTTAATTGCACTGACTTATTTTTCAGGCCTCAAAAATAGTATGAGAAGAGGTTATACTACATAGAAGGAGTTGAAGAGTTGCTTCAAGCCTTGAAGCAAAACAATTATGAAATGCACGCTTTTGCAAACTACCCCATCTGGTAGGATCTGGCTGTTCCTTCTGATTCAGTAGTTTATTAATTGAATATTTACATGTGTGTGTTTCTTCAATCTTCAGGTACAAAATAATCGAGGAAAAGTTAAACATTTCAAAGTATTTGTCATGGACATTGTGTTCATGCATGTATGGTATGTTCAAGGACCTTATCTCTTTCCAATTAAAAGTAATTCTCTCGTAAGGATCTCTGATTTCAACCGAATGGAGAATTTCAGTTCTATTTTTTTAGTTTCTAGTCCCTAAATACATTCCCTCATTTCACATTATATCCTCTAAACAGTAATGCAGAAGGGTGATTCCATGCACTATTTTTTGGTAGAACAGAGACCATAGCCTGACTTTCAAAAGAAAAAGAAAAAAAAACTTTATTTTAACTTTACATGATTTAAGATTCTCCCTGTCGATTCTGAGGTCTAGAATCTCCCTTGACGAGTTCTAAGGTTTCAGTCTCCCTTTGACGAGCTGATTTATCAATCCCAAACACAAGATTGTAACATTCTAACTGATATTGATCAAGTCTTTCTACTTTAGGAGTTGATCATGTGAATGTCTCACGGCCATGAAAATGACCGTCTGCACAAAGAGCATCCCAGATATGGACGTCAAATTCCCACTTCCAGTTGGTTACACACTGTTCCCATTTTGTTTACCTCATTGAGCATGAAGTAACAGTTAATGTTGCTTGGAACCTTTGTTTTTTTGTTATGATTGTAAATCCAAAATACCTCTTTTTTTCTTTTTAACTTCCTAAGAAATGGTTAAACTCTTTCCAGTTCATTATTACTGCTTGCAGAAGCAAGTGATCAGTTATGTTGCTTCTGACTTCACATTCGAAGAGAAATGAAACGAAAACATCTATCCGTCATAATATTTTGCTTTTCTTTTTTTCAACCTTCATAATGTTGAAAATGCATGCACCACCGAAAGTGCCAAGCAAGTTGGCAACATTATTTTCAAGAATTAATGCACCGAAAGGTGCATGGAAATTTTTTATTTAAATATTAAATGGGATAATTTAATTTAGTCATTGTACTTTAGGGTATTTATAAGATTAGTCCTTAAAGCTTCAACTATAAATACCATAGCTCATTTAGCTTCAAAATCATCCCAAAGCATTCTAGCTTTCTTCCAATACTAGAGAGAATTTAGAGAGTTTATTGAGAGTTGTTTTCTCCTTTTTTTATCAAGAGAGAATTATCATTGTTTTCTCCTTGGTAGATCGAGAGATGTTGTAATTCCTATTTTCTCATAGTAAAATTCTTCTACCGTTGCCCGTGGTTTTTACCCTATATTATTTAGGGGTTTTTCACATAAATTTGGTGTCTTCTTTATCTTCATTTTTATTTTCTCAAATTATCAGTTGCGATTTTGCTCTATCCGATAGCTGTCTTCCGCAACAATTGGTATCCGAGTCAGATTTGAGTGTAATATTTGCTTATTGTCTTTGTGGTTGCCACCAAAAGGTGGATCCTCCAATATAAGAAAGTAAGAAGTTATTATCCACTCTTTAAAGGTTCCAGATAACTATTCACGATAGTGAAATAGTGAGAGCTATCCGTAAAAGAAGCTATGGCAACGAAATTTGATATTGAAAAATTCAATGGGAGAAATTTCTCATTGTGGAAATTGAAGATGAAGGCCATCATGAGGAAAGACGGTTGTCTAGCAGCAATCAATGAAAGGCTGGTAGATTTCACAGATGACAACAAATGGAACGAGATGGACGGGAATGCTATGGCAAACTTTCATCTAGCATTAGCAG